TTTATAAAATGGACAAATATCGACTCAGAGAGTGCATCTACTGGATAACAAACAGAAAGTCCACTCTCCAATAAGGGAATAATTTTTTGAGAGATGGTTTCAGAATCTTAGAACCACGTGACGCTGCCACAATAAAGACATCAACACAAGCAGAGAAAGCAAATATGTTGATAAAAATAGAAGCAAAATATGGAGAATAGACTAACCTCTTCAATCTTGCTCTCGATTTTTAGTTCACCATTTTCCTGGATAGACCTGTTGAGCAAAAAACTACAAAACTGAGATCAATTGAAAGGCTTTGTGACTTTAAGATTTGTTTCTGAATAAATTACTGTCATACAAACCTAAGGGGGCAGAACATCCTCCTCACCTTCCCAAGTATCAGTCATGGGTACATACTCCTTCCGGGGGCCCCAGAGAAAACATACGCCAATTCGGGGGAAGAGATCTCCTCAAATCAATCATGAACACGCTCAGTCTTACCTAATGTATTGTTTCTACTGAACTAAAATAATCTCACCTCTACCTTACCCCTAACATAATATTTTAAATTAAAGACAGAAACTTTGTCTACAGGAGTATGTGTTTGTCTGCTGGAGTTTCCTGGGAATTTAATGCAAAATTTTTCCCAAGTTTCAAAAAAAACAGAGCTCCTTTAAATAGGATCTGAGCAGCACACCTACCCCCACACAGAAGCCTCTTTATCAAGGAGACAGACACAGGCCCCCATAGAAGGAATCGGATCGACACTGCCCCACGCACCTTCCAAAGCCAACTGAACATGGAACGCTTATTGGGGACACAGTAAGCACAGGTTACCCTGGAAGCTAGACTTTTGTGCAGCAGCATTAAAATCCCAGTTGCAACTCATCGGCTCACAATCATGATTGCTAGTCTGACATTTTTTAATACCAAGAAATACAAAGAAATGTGAATTTTTCTGTAAATTTAAAACTATACTAACAGCTCCAAATTTGTTTTCATGATGAACGCTTACTACCTTTTTGTCTGATTAAAATAAAAAGATAATTTTTTGTTTGGTTAAAAAGAAAATTAACACTAGAATTTTACAAGGGTCCTTCCTGACCTAATAAAAGCACAGATAACGCACACATGGGGTTACCTGTATCTACTAGTCTGCTCCTCTGGGGCCACAGACCACCATCTTTTCTCTAAGACAGCTCTCTTTCAGAAAGGTTTTGGAAAAGCCCCTGTGTTCTTCCTCAAGCGACCCAGAAATGCAATTCACATCTCAGTAGCGTGAAAGTTAGGGTCCAACCTCTGTTATCTATACAAGGAGGAACGGGATGAGATGGACAATACAGAGGAGCTGATCATCGCGGCCTCAAGACTGATCTTCACACGTGGGCTTTACTTAGATAAACATTAAAATCAGCTACATTGTTCGAGATAATAGAGAATTCTAGAAACAGCCCAGATGTGTACTGAATAGCAAAAAAGTCAGTATTTCACTTAAAAATATTTTTCTCCCAACCCATATCATCAATGGTATATATGTAACAAGTGAAATGTATCTATAAATCTCAATTTCATTATCTTAGTAAAAAAAAAGAAAGAAAAAAAAAATTACCTCATATTAACGAAGTTGCCCCAAACAGCTGTAAAGGAAAAAAAAAAGACAATATTTAAGTTTACAACATTCAGAAATTCCAACTGATAAAATTTTAATCTTTATAATTTTAAACAATATTTTCAAGTTCATGAAGATACCTAAATAATAGTTCATCAAGACAATAAAATGCACACTTTGTATTACAAAGAGTTTAGTCTGGCTAAAAAGAA